TCTCTCTCTCTCTCTCTCTCTCTCTCACACACAAACACACACACACACACACACACACACACACACACACACACACACACACACACACACACACACACACACACACAAACATGGATTAGTTTCTCAGATTTAATGCCCTTCTTGTCAGGGATTTGGACGGACAGTCTGCGAGGATTGCCTGGTTGGCACACCATACCTCTAAAGAGTTCCCAGAAAAGAAAAAATAAAATGGAAGGTCCAGTTGGCACCTCTTAAAATGTTTTTTTCCTAGAAGTGACTCTCTCAGGGGATCTAGTACCATGACTTCCATCTACAGTTTGGCCAAGTAGGACATCAGACAGTAGACCTGGGTTCACTCTCTCAAAACAAGAACTTGGCCGAAGTGTTGGGTTTCGGGGGTTACGGATTCAGGGAACTTCAAGGATCCTTGACTGGCTGGTTGCACTTTGATTGACCCTGTGCCCCTGCGTTGGGGAACCGGAGAGTACTCAGAGTAGATCATTTTGTTTATCGCAGTGGGCCCCGTCCTTCGAGGAATTAACCTCCACATCCAGGAGCATGGTCCCACTAGCAACGGGGATTGGATTAAGATCCTGAATCTGGGGGTGTTAAAGCAGAGAAGCAGACAAGGAGTTCAATCTCGCTTTTCTGCACCTCTCCACAAACTCAGCGACATTCAGGCGTTCAATCCAATCCTCTTTGCTAGTGCGACCTCGCCCCAACGGGCTGGCAAAAGTCGGGAAACACAGTCTGGAAACGCGTGTTGTTGCTGTGCATGCCACTGCATGGTGAAAAAGAGAATTGGAGCATACAGATGATTAAGTTATCTAAAAATCCTGCTTGTTCATCACTGCCTTTTGCCAGGTCAGGAAGGCCCATTCGTCATCCGCTGGTATTGCTCCTCGTCCAATGGCTCGTTTCTCCTTGGCGAATACAGGGGTCACTTTTTTTTTTTTTTAAAGCTATATTCTTCTCCCAATTTCGCCTCACACTATCTACCTACCACTACTCCTAATTGTAGGCATACGGGGAACCCCGTAGCAGCCAGAACCGTGTTCAGGAGAGAACATGCGTAGCAGCCAGAACCGTGTTCACAAGAGAACATGCGGGGGCTGCTCCCGACCTGCAGGTGGGCGATACCGGCTAGGGGACAGCCGGTAGCATCAGGGACCATGCCAACAGGACCAATCCCTGTGCCTCCCCTCAGGTGGTGGTCCCCTCCCCTACGAACATCAGCAGACTCTGCTCAATGCCAATAGGGGGATCCAGTATCTCTAGGTGGCGGGCTCCAAGCATGCCCAGGAAAGTACATGAGCCCAATGGGGATTGAACCCACGCGTTCCTGAATGCCACTTGCGAGCCTTACCAACTGAGTTAGGCCGCTGGACGGGGTGGCTTTTCCATTGTTGGTAAGGGCCAGGTTTCATAGGTAAGGTCGGTTGGTTATGTTCGTGGGCAAAACGCATGAACTTGATCATAATAGAGGCAAGGTTCGTGCTTATGTTTTCTTTTTTGTGTGTGTGTTTGTGCTTCTGTATTACCCAGGCCTCAATGGTAAGGTCCGGTTGGCTATGTTCCTGCACGAAAATCATGAACTTGGTCACAATAGTGGCAAGGTTTGTGCTTCTGTACTACAGTACTAGTACTGTGTTCAGCAGAATAGAACCCCTGGTCATTCCCCCTGTATGTAGAGTGAAAGTGGGTTCAAACACAGCTATTATACATTCGGGTGAAGATGGTAGCATGAAGCAGTGCTGTACCCCGTTCACAGAGTCGGAAGTCCGGTCACCCATCACCGGTTGTAGTTCACGGAGTTCACGTAGAGCTGGTACAGTATGTTTTTGGGGGGGGGACTGCTTTTTTTTTTTTTTTGGGTAGGAGGATGGGGTTTCATCCGAGCGTACCCCCTATAAAATTTTCGTTTTTTTTTAATGAATAATATTTTTTAATTAAAACAAACTCATGGA